TTACGCTGCACTGTGCGACCTCCGAGTGCGCTCCGAGTGGACACTTGCAGTATTTCTGGGAGTGACAGTCGCCTGAGAATTCAAACTCCTCAATAGTGTGTTAAACGTGACACTTTGTACCCTGTGTGTTCCTCTGTCCCTGTGGGTTCGACCTTTCTACCACTATATTGCAGTTTTAGCCTTTAGTGGGTTATTACAATTTTCAAGGAAGAAAGCGTCATTTACATGAATGAATAATCATGGGATTAAATTAAAGAGTTAAATGAGTATCCATATCTACTTATATGTAGGGCTTGTAAAGATTTTTTTGACTCAAGGATGGAGTATTTTAAGCATAGTAATGTCAGTTTCAATATTTTCTCAATTTTGAACTCAGTGTATTTTTGGACATATTTAGAGAATCATCAGAATTTTTTGTTTTTTTTGCCACACAGAAATGAATATTTATAGTCACATCTAGGTGATATTAAGATGTATGTTTCATCGGTACAATTGATGCAGCAATATGTATAGATTGATGACTATTTTCACTTCAGGAATAGATCTTGAGATCAATTCATCATTCTTTTGATAATTGTTTGCAAATCATGTCGAGAACATACACGTTGATAAAAGAATACAAGATTTATATATTGGCATTTTAATATCTGTCTAGACATAACATATAAAGTCAATGGTATGTATCTTTTAGAATATTATTCGTTCTAGGATGGTTTACATCCAGGAGTGATGACGAGGATACATGAAGTGGCTCATAGATTTGAATAGCGATATTATTGGATCCTAATAATAAAAATCCAATGCGTTTTCTTTACGTCTATAAGGATTAAAATAATCTTTGAGATACAATTTATGATGATTATATAACAGAGCGAAAATACCCTTACACATCTTGTGGAGAGCATTTTGAAGATGGGTATGGAATATTGCTTGGAATATCGTATGTCACAATGGACCATATCCTCCAGAAGGATATGGTCCACTGTGACATGTCACCCTGTGCTAACCCACTTTTTGTTTTTTTTCGGAACTAAAACATTTTTGAATAGTAAGTACCTCGGCAGCAGCTGTAAATAGTAATTGGTACGCGAAACCAGAGTAAAAAGAGGATCGAGGACAGTCAAGGGGTCTTGGGCTTAGGCCACAGTGGGACGCTTGGGACGGAACGAGCGGTTCATGCTGCAGGATCCGCTTCGAGCACATTAGGCGGTAGATCACTCATAACTTTCTCAATTCGTAACGCTTTGAGTTGCTTTGGGTCTTGTTGGAAAGAGCTCGACGCGTTGGTTCTAACGAGCTCAAAAACTTGTGAAACGGATGAGAGGTCACTGAGTTATGAGTGTCGGAAGTTACTGATGGGGGGCCTTCGGCGGTAGAGCGACTTTGGCGGTACGCCTTCGGCGGAAGAACCGCCGGAAGATGCGCCTTTGGCGGTAGACGCCTTCGGGTCAACGCCTTCGGCGATGCGGGAGAGTGCATTCGGCGGAAGAGTGAATCCCTCATAACTTTCTCAATTCGCAACGCCTCGACTTGGTTAGGGTCTTGTTGGAAAGAGCTCGACGCGTTTATTCCAACGAGCCCAAGAACGCCAACAATGGATGAGGACTTAGGGAGTAATGACTATCGGAAGATACATAGACGTTCGCCTTCGGCGGAATGAGTTCGACTCCGGCGGGAATTCCGCCTACGCGGAAGGGAGATCAACTTTTGTCTGGTGCGCGGACGGACGCCTTCGGCGGTTGCAGGCCTTCGGCGGAAGAGTAAAATCGTCATTACTTTCTCAATTCTTAACGGTTTGACTTAGTTAGTGTCTTGTTGGAAAGAGCTTGCGACGCGCGTTCCAACAAGACCAAGAACTCTTGAAAGGGATAAGGCAGCACCGAGTTAGGAGCGGCGGAAGTTTCTGATATGGGAGTCTTTCGGCGGCCTACGCGTAGGCGGCTTGCGCGTAGGTGGCCTGTGCACAGGCAAACGCCTTCGGCGGAAGGGAAAAACCGTGATAACGTTTTCAATTCTTAACGGTTTGCGTTAGTTAGGGTCTCGTTGGAAAGAGCTCGACACGCTCGTTCCAACGAGCCTAAGAAAGCTTGAAACGGATGAGGACTTAGGGAGTTATGACTATCGGAAGATACGTAGACGTTCGCCTTCGGCGGAAGGAGTTCGCCTCCGGCGGGAATTCCGCCTACGCGGAAGGGAGATCAACTTTTGTCCGATGCGCGGACGGACGCCTTCGGCGGTTGCAGGCCTTCGGCGAAGTAGTAAAACCGGCATATCTTTTTCAATTCTTAGCGGTTTGACTTGATTTGGGTCTCGTTGGAAAGAACTCGACGAGTTGGTTCGAACGAGACCAAGATCTCTTGAAACGGATCAGTCATCAATGAGTTATGAGCGTCGAAAGCGGCTGTCATGGTTAGGCGTGAGGCCTTCGGCGTTAACAGTTAGAGGGGCCTTCGGCTCAAGGCGGCCCGCGAGTAGGCGGCTTGCGTGTAGGTCGCGTGGGACCCACAGTCCTCGGATTTTGGAGAAGGAATTTTGGCCTAGGTTCAGAGATCTTGCGGGGCCCATATCTTTGCGGTCGGATGGATTTGAAATTTTGTGGGGCCGTTGCTCTCGGCCGGCCACGCATGCCTGCAAATTTTCAGCCTCACATCTTGGATGGAAAGGCGTTGGCGGCTCTGTACAGTAGGCTTAGGATTCAGATTTAGGGTTAGGGTTAGATTTAGGTTGTAAGTTAGAGGGGAAGGCAGCCGCCGACTCCTCAGGTGTGGGATCTGTTGCGGCTCGCACCATGGCGTAGTGCAGTGTAATGCTAGTTAGGACTTAGAAGGTATAAAGTAGTTCAAGGCGTCTTGCCTTGGGATTTTTCCAGTTTGGGAAGTGCAGATCAGGAACTCATTTTCTCTGCGTGTTTATGTCCTTAGTTCTGTCACCATGCAAGAGGAGCTACAACTTGGCGTTCCGCATTTTGTAGCTGAAGGCCTCCGGCCGAATGTTCAGAGCTAGTACATTGGTTAGAGACTTGAGTAGTTCGGATCTACACCTGCGGGTGATTGCCGATGCTAAGAGCCAGTGACTAGTTAGATACTTGAATAGTTTCGCCCCTACACCTTCGAGTGATTGTTCCTGATTGTACTCCTTCAGGATTTTTCCCCTGAATGCCAAAGTGAAGTTTTGCTACTTCGTGTAAACCTTGGTTGTAAATTCAGGTTACGCTGCAGCAGGTGCCTTCAGGGTAACCCCTGTAGTATTTCTGGGAATGACAAGTGCTTGAGAATTCAAACTCCTCAATAGACTGTTGTTGTGTTATTGGAATGTTTCTCAGTGAGTCCTTTAGTGCGGACCTGTGTTCTCTGCGCGTTTTGTGAGTGGAGAGTGTTGTTCACCGCGTATGAGTGACTTCGATCCGAAGTAGGCAGTCCAAACCGGGTTTCCTACGCTAGCAGCAAGCTAGTGGAAGCGTTGTAAAAGCCGGAGTTGGAAGTCACTACCCGCAGCTTCGCTGAGTGTACTCTGGAGAGACTTTTCCCCTGAAATCTTGAGTAGAGGTCCTAACGGATCTCTGGGTTGTGTTTCTGTAGTTTCAGGTGTGTGTGTGTGTGTGTATTACGCTGCACTGTGCGACCTTCGAGTGCGCTCCGAGTGGACACTTGCAGTATTTTTGGGAGTGACAGTCGCCTGAGAATTCAAACTACTCAATAGTCTGTTAAATGTGACACTTTGTACCCTGTGTGTTCCTCTGTCCCTGTGGGTTCGACCTTTCTACCACTATATTGCAGTTTTAGCCTTTAGTGGGTTATTACACACCCACGGGACTTGAGTGCAGCGTGGTTAAAATGAGAGCAGTCTGTGGAGATCTAATATTTATATCCATCCAGTGTTAAGTGTTTCGAGTATTAGTAAAGAGTTACAGAATTTATGATTGGAAGTAGGTCAAAAAGCTAAGGGGAGGAAATGTAGAAAGATGAGGTGTCAACGAACTACGATGAATTCCAGCTGATTGTATTCAACACCAACAAATCCAACAAATCTTTGGATAAATCATAGAGATCATAAATATATATATCCATAGGAATTCAATATCTAGAGTATTTTTTGTGCTTCTTGTGTAGGTTAAAGAACTTGACAATCAATTTTGATGTCTAACTCGTTTTAATTGCTCTTTTATCACGTCCATATTCCTTTAATTGATAACAAATCTACTACTAGAATCCGCCTTCAAATACCCATCGTTTTGATGATCAGTCTTCAACTTTTTCTCCCTATAAGCGTTTATGAATGTCAGGTCTCTCTCAATCAAGTGTTGTTAAGTGCAATCATATGAGTTCGAAAATTTTATATTTTAATCCTCTAGCTGAGAAAAAAAATATTTCTGGATTTTGAGATACACAACAAAAACTCACTTACCAAATGCAAACAAGAGTAAACTCAACAAATCAATTGAATAAGACAAGGTGATGAAATTCAGTAAGTGAGTAAATGAACTATTGGCATTTGTCGTATTCTACGTCATAGACTGGTCAATCTTGAACATACATATTGTAGACGTAAGTTTCTAGCTTCGTCTATCATGTATTTAATATTAAACTAATAATGATTCACCATTGGAGATGACATTGTACTACTCGAATTTTCTAAAGGATCAAATAGTCTACTTATATTTAACATTTATAATTGCCTGGAAGTTAATCGAATTACATTTAGTACCAGACCATGATACAAATGCATCTCATTATCAATAAAAAATGTATACTGTCCCATATGGAAAAAAATCGACGCTTCCTCTCACTTCTGCAGGTCGAGAAGATGAAACGAGGATGAGCAAGTTGTCCACAACATTGTTAAACTTGTCCGTGGCATTCAAGCTTGAGCCAACAGCAAATATAGAAAAAACATGTGAAGCTCTGTGCGACGCGCTGGAGGGAGCTCATTGGTTTGTCACCTCCAAGACAACAAAGAGACGACCAGAGATGATGCTCCACGAGCTCTACCCATGCCTGCCTCGCTCTGACACGAGCCGCAGTGCGTCGAATGCGAGATTTTGCAGAAGTATGACATGACGTAACGAATAAAGTCGATTGAACCTCATGGTCAACCAAGTGACTAGCGCAGGAAGAATGTATCCACTTGTTGTTGCTTCCCTGTGGCTGCGCCGCCAAAGCAGCTACGGCCCGAACGCCGTAACAATGGCCACTCTATGTTTCGGTATAAAAGCGTTGCGAGCTAGCATTCAACAGCAGTTTGTGGCTCGGGATCTTCAGTTTTATTCTCACCATAGGGTATTGTTTAGGCTCGCAGTGTCTAACAATTTCCTTCTCCAGAAGAGCATGCTAGATCATCTCTACTCGCCACTGCTCGGGTGATTCATGACGAACCAGTAAGTGCGATACAAGTTCAAGCACAACTCTGAGTTCTGAAGTTTAATCTGAACGCCATCTAAACGAATGTCCACAACTCATTCAGAACCGACATTCCTTTGCAACTGATATTTTCGGACATCGAATCGAGCAGGTCTGCAGTTTGAGTTTCCTCTGAGTTCGAGCCAGGTCCAGAGGTCGATCCTCTTTTAGAATTAAGTGCTGCAATGACGACATACGTGAAAGGAGCATCCCAGGTCAGCTTGGCACTTCAAGTGCTGATGGGCCTTGCCTTCATATGGTGGTGGATGTTCTGGTTCCTTCAGCCCATTCAGACCGCAAGGAACTGGCTGCGGAAGGCAGACGAGCACATCTCGCAGGACTTTCTTGGAACAAGAGGTGAGTTGGCTCCGTTTGCTCGCATAATTTTTTATATGAGAATAAATGTTATAGATTTCGTACATTTCATGGATTTTAATTGTTGTACTGACTGTGTCTTTACATCGTTCTGCTCATTTTTCACACTTAAGGTTCCACATGGATTCTGCAAGTCTTGCCCTTCATGGTCATCGCTTTCCTCAGCTACTTTGCCATAGTACTCAAGAATAGAATCAAACCTTCAGCAAGGTAAGTCAATCCCTTGTGGGGCCCCGATTGAACTTTGACTGAACTCGAATTTCTTGCTTTTCGTGTGAATTCCGCGTTAACATGAGAATCAGTTGAAGTGATCTTCTCAATCCTGATTGCACGAAGATGAAGCTCCAATATAGTCAGAATAATCAGAAAGAAGACATCAGCACTAGCAAATTCTGACATTCTCTGCTATTATCTGCTTCAGGAATGTGTCGGCAGATCAGAAGCCAAAAGTCAGTATCTGGTCTCAACCCATCATCTTGAAAAGCCCGCTGGGGATGCTCACACTTGCGGACATCGTGTTCCTCCTAGTCAACGTCTTTGTCATAGCGTTCTACTTCATAAAAATGTCAGTGGACAGAAGTAAGACTATTGACAACGCAAAACCCAAAAAGGGAGATCACAGCAAGTACGTTGTATATACTTGAAGGTTTTGCATCTTCTCCTTGACAAAGCTTTTTAATATGCATATTTGGAAAGCTTAAGATGCATATCGCTGACCTGCACCTGTGCGTTGCTATGTCCAGGGGTGCGCAGAAATTGGAGAACATTGGAGTGTACCTGGGCAAGGCGGCGCTGATTCCATTCGCTCTTCTGTGGATTCCAGTTTCAAGAGGATCGCCATTTCTGCGCGTTACCGGTGTTCCCTTCGAGCGTGCTGTCAAATACCATACCTGGCTGGGCCTGATGTGCGTTTGGATCCTCGTTGCTCACGGACTAGTATTCTTTGCGTACTTCCCCTCGATCCACCATACGTCTGAGGTAAGAAGCTGAATTCATCCTCAAAATCCCAACGCATCAATTCTGAACTCCCTGCAAATTTACTGAGGATATTTTCGAGACAGATACAATGTAGGCAGAATTAGTTATGTGCTATGTGCACTGAAGGGTCAAGTACTAAACCTTGAACTGCACACGTACCCGGCTGCAGCTGTGGAGATGGCAACACAAGGGAATTGCTTTCTTTCCGGGAATCATCGCACTTGCGGCGGGGCTGGTGATGCTGGTTACCGCTCTGGAGAAAGTCCGCAGAAACCATTTCAACTTATTTTTCCTCACGCACCACCTTTACTTGGTCTTTCTCCTTTTCTTCCTGTTCCACTGCGTCTCTCAGATGGTCTACGTCGTCACTCCTATCTTGCTCTTCTTCCTGGATCGATTTATCCGCCTGGTGCAGTCCCGAAAACCTGTCGACATTTTGTCCACTAAAGTTCTCCCATCCGGTGCCATCGAGCTTAAATTTGCCAAGCCAGGAAGTAAGTGATAGTCATAGTTCAAGTGAGTCAATTCGGCCTGAGCTTTACTGCCATGTACATTTCTGAGCTCGCGCTACGGTTGACAATTGCTCTGACTTTGATGATGACTTCATGTTTCTTGCATCTTATACCTGAAGCGTTTGCTCCACAGATCTGGAATACAATGCCTTGAGTTTCATGTACGTACTAGCGCCGAGCATTTCCAAATTTGAATGGCACCCATTCAGCGTCGCATCCAGCCCTCTGGACGGAACCAACCAGATCTGTATATACATCAAGCCCCTGGGAACGTACACCAAAGATGTCCACGATGCTCTCATAGACACCAAGCATCACAAGGAGGCCGGAAAGCTGAAATGTCCCTTCGGATTCAAGCTCCAATTGGAAGGACCATACGGCGACGAGTCCAATTTTTATCTCCAGTGAGTGGCAATTGGATTCTCTTCATCTTGGGCGAAATTTGAACAGTGTCGTATAAAAATCAAGGCCACGCAACTCATCTTCCACTTTCCATTTTGCAGGTACAATTCCCTGATTCTCGTAGCAGGAGGCATCGGTGTAACCCCATTCCTTGCTATCCTTAAAGATGTCCTCCACCGGCACAAGCTGCAGCAGGAGAACCTCCCGACCTCCATCCACCTCATCTTCTGTGTGCGTAATCAGAAGGATCTGTGTCTTCTGGACACAATAAATCCCAGTGAAATTCTTCCCAATTACGAGGACCTTGTACAGATCAGAATTCACGCATTTGTGACCTCGAAAGTGGATCTCATCAAAGATGAAGAGCTCAGTTCCTCCGAAGCCATTGTACCGTACCAGCACTACAACTACACCTACATGAACGAGCCTTCTAAGCAGTACACAGGGCCACCACTAGCAGCAGTAAGAGAGATGTCTATTTTGGCCGGCGCCGGGGACAACAAATGGGTCGCAGCCACATTCTTTGCAACCATGATTGGATACATTGTGATTTTCGGAATCATCAACGTCACCGGTTCATATGCCAAGCTAACGAACTACAACAGGGCACTGCTTTATTGCGTCGTACTGTTTCTGTCGGTGGTTGGTTGCGGAGGTCCAGTGTTAATGTTGTGGGCTCATTTTCAGAGGAAGCAAACTCCTCGGTTAAAAGCTCAGGTCCTGGCCAACTCCCTACCGCCTTCTCCTGATAAACATTCGAAGTCAAGCGAGGGTGACATCGAGCTTAGAGCATCCGAGCATACTTCATGGGAAGGAGAGGTGTCTTTGGGCAAGAGGCCTGATTGGAAAGGTAATACTAAAGCCAGTTCAAATTTCGTTCAACTTTCTTTCAGACTGCGGTTTTGAATGTTGAGACTGGCACTTATTAATTAACATCTGACCCAAAATCCGTGGTTTTCCAGTATTATTCGCTGATATGGCGAGACAGTACGAGGGGAAGAATGTGGGTGTGCTGGTTTCCGGTGCGTCCAAGATGCAGGAAGATGTTGCAACCGAGTGCAAGAATCATACAAACTCGAACAATTCGAATGTGGCATTCCATTACCATTCTGTCAGCTTTGAGCTGTGACGGGTCAGGATCAACGGGGTGAACGATTTTGTTAGTGTAAATCCGATAAGATATAGCTAGAATATACGTAAGTTACATCTCACTGATGCCTGAGGTCCTTTGGCCAGGTTGATAGTAGATCAAAGAAGGACGTCTACACTTAGCTACAGATAGGGCTAGTAGTGAGTCGACACAAAGTACAGAGCAACAAGTGACCAGAATATGTTGGGTATCTGTTCACAAAAAATGCCATTGTATCTTATGACAGTGAGACCTACAGTATTGAAATATGAAAAAACCGTCGGTTTCACATGAATGTGATGTATGAGTAGTCTGATTAATAAGCTCCCACATGCTATGTGCCTTGGCAGCACACTGAAGCGATTTGTGGTTTCTTGGACTTGAAGTCATGAACAAAATGCCGAGCTGGATTCGCACTACGCATGATAAAATCAAGATATCCGTAAGGATTTCTTTTTTATGTATAATGTACTCTAAATAATTATGCTAAAGTATTGATAAAATGAATCAGAAGTTTAATCTTCCCACCATAGTTGGACCCCAAACTCTTTCGTAATGTTTCAATTGGTAGAGTTTTTTATGTAGACTGCGTTTGGAACTAGAGAAACATCTTATCACCGCTTGCAGCCGCTTGAGGTTCTTACCGGCATATTACTTTTATTGATAGCATCTAAAGTGGTCAAAACTATGAACCAAACGATCATATCCCAAAGTTTTGAATTTTCTATCGAAAACTCTATAACCCAAGGGAGTTTCCGCATGAAAGCTCACGTTACGAACCTGCACTTTCCCACATGACAGCAGCATGACCTTTCCAAAGACAAGATTGGTCACTCTCTCTGTCTCTGGATCTCTGTGTTTCTCTGTCTCTGGATAATGTTGGCATGCGATCTTAAAAGCTGTACATTCTAATTGTTGTAAAATGGTTTCTGGAAAAAGTTATGATTAGAAGTAGTTAGAAGGTTAATAGAGGAGAAGTTTAGGCTTGTTAATCATACCAGTAAGAGTTGGAGCGTCAGTTTCTCAATGTTGATTTTCCAAGTAAACAAAGTAGTACAAACCTGTGAGAGCACATAATTCGTTGTCGCTACTCTAGATAAAAGCTCGAGGGAACAGAGGCAGACGACATACATGCAACGTAGGATCGCAAGCCTGCAAGAAGGCTTCAATGGCATGACTTTCCAATTCGTAGAAGGTGTTGAAGATCACACCGTTTACTTTCGACAAATCCAGTCCCGCTTTCGCGGTCACTGAGACAGTGTGTTTGCTTTTGATGAATTTGCCATTCTCTCCCACTCCCAACCCTCCTTCCGAAATGAGAGCCGGAAACGCTTGAAGAAGACGAGCGAAATTTGCACCACTAGGGAAATACGCGTAACATGGTAGATTCTGTTCATGTGAAAGTTTCTGTACAATGAACATTCCTCCCGTGTCAGATATTATATTTTTTTCCCAATTTTGATGTGTATTGTGTTGAGATGGTATGATCACTAGCCCAATTCTCCTTCCCTGTGTTAAATCTGACGATCGAAACGAAATTCTCTCATACACAAGTGCGGATTCTCTTTTTCTTCCAAATTTTGATGTGATTCTGATTTTATCGCGATGGCATCGAATAGAATCTGAGCACTAGCTAAAGAAGGTTCGTGACAAACACAGAAACATCTACAATAAAGAAGACTTTCCCAAAACTGTTTCGGCCTAGAAATCAGAAAAATCCGAGCAGATGACAAATTTGAGCAATCTCTACGTCTGGCGAAATAGGGTGAGAAGGAAAACACGCATGGGGAAGAGTGTAGATCGTCATATGTACCTGAGCCCAAGACAGAACATGTCTGCTACGACGTATGTGGGTAGGCCGGCAGCTCCTGAGGATAGGGCAGAGGCCATATTTTGAAAGTAAGGATCTGCGGCTCGCATCACGGCGTACGAGTACTTACATGGTCTGCTTCAGTATTCATGGAACTCACGTTCCGACTCATCGTGGTCCATAATGGCCAACCGAATGTCGAGACTTTGCAGCGCTTCGGGCGAATGAAGCGAGTGTATGTGTGGCAGCATGTATCGGGCCGTGAAGATGGTGACAGTGATGTCTTGCTTGGCGAGCTTGGCTGACAGCAACACGGCCGAGGTGACTTGCGAAACCGAGATTATACTCAAAGGGACAACTAGTACGTGCGCACGCAACGAGCTCTCCTGGATCTGGATCTGTTCTTCATCTGCGGGCGAATTGCCCGCATCCTCAATTCCTCCCTCCATTACTTTCAATTGCTATCCATTCACGTACCTCTTAACAGAATTTCACCTTGTAGAGTTGGATTCGGAATATGAATTTCGGCTCCCGATCTGCAACAGAGGCGATGTCTCCTGCACCAGATTTCGACATTTGCTTTCTCAACCAGCTCATTCCTCTATAATGTCCCTAGACGAGTTGATATGTCTGTGGTAAATTCTATGCGCAAGGAGTTTATAAAAAAAGCATTGATCTCTAGGCTGCAGTAGTAGAGATCCATAAGTTCTTACACATGCCCACGCCGAGATCGGGTACGGGAAATTATTCCTTAGTACACATTTTGAGACATTCTGCTCGCTCAAGCTCGGCAATTCCTTGGAATGGGCTTGCCTAACAAGATGGTGCAGATTTGCAGAAACGGCAGCAGACCTGTTTCTGCTGGCAAGATTGATGATGTGGTGAGGTTTGAACAGGTGAATACTCTGTCATCTGAGCACCACCAACTTAGCATGCTTTCTCTGTATTCAGGTTCATTCACTTTAGCTTTGCGAATTTAACAGAATAATCTGGTCCGCCATGGACTCTCAGAATGTCAAAACACGAAAATGTGATGAAGATACGAGAGAGGTTTTTAGTTTCCACTATGCACTTCGAGGACTGCCCAGCACTTCAGCACTGCCCACTTCAGTAAGTGGCAGGAAGTCACCCATCACCACTTATTGTTCACCACTTTTTGCAGCAAATCATCGACACTGATTTCATCCTACACATGGTCACAGATCTGAGAAAGTGGATAATGGAAACATACACATCTTATGACAGGGTCAGGACTATTGCGCTCTTCAGAAACCCTTCCCGTAGACTATCTCGAAAGCCTTTACAGTTTAAGGGAGGTATTGTTCAGGCGAAGCTAATGTCGTGAACTTCTTGCTGGGAATTGCAACTGCATCCGAATTGGAGCACGGAAGAAACGTCGGTTTAGGGTAGAGTTAGGTTGACTCCCGGTTGTCTTTGATAAATGTAGCTTATTTTTCATTATCGTAAAGGATAATCATATGCCAAGCTGTCTTCCGAGTGTCCATTTCGCCTTTCTTTTTCAGTTTTGTGTAACGATTCTACATGTATCGTCAAGGGTCTTTTATCCTTTAAGCTGGAAGACTAGAACACTCACTGATTCTGTGGTTCGTACTGATTGTAGCTTGAATACAGGATGAAGGGAATTATATAATTCTATAGAAGGCAAGTTCAAGACGAATGCTGCAAGAGTCCATATTCCAAGCATACAGATGAACTAATCGAAGCTAGGAAGCTAAGCCATTGGTTTGATTCATCGCTTTCCGCATGAATAACCATAAGCTTATGCGAGAGAGTTAGGGACATTCTAAGAGAAAACTGGCCGCTAAGTACCTCAAATGTAAATATCAAAGAAAGCTTTTCAGAAGTTCTTCCTAAATATACACGTAACGTTATAGTTGTTGCACCTAACTTGAGATCATACATGGATTTCATCTCGGGCATGTACATCTCATATAAAATCCACGGACCAGCTTCCACGGACCAGCTTCATTACAGTTCAGAAGTCATATTCTGGTCTGCTATTCGATTGTCCAGAATTGTGGCATAACAATGCGATATTACTCGAACCATGTATTTCAGCTCAAACCTGCAATTTCGACTTCTGGTTCAAATTTTTCTTTCACTGGTTTGAGATTAATCTGAGATGTTTTCTTTATAATAATGCAAGTTTTAAATCTGACTGTAAGTACTAGAACTAGATTCTAAAGACAAAGCAATAAGATAGCAGCAATTGTCGTGTATAAATGACCACTGAAAATTTCAACATCACTTGGTTTTGAGTACCGTCTTACTGGTTTCCTGTCCGATTGGTTGACAACATTTCTGATCTATTCCGCCGGTTTATCTATTTCGCCCACCAGTATCTGAAACCTCTCGATAAGTACTTATTGATAATGTGAAGGGGATTAAAATGAGAGAAATGTTACTGACAAGGAATGATCGTAAATTCAGATGTCCATTTATGACGTAATTTCTTATGACATAGTTCATGAGTAGATTTGATGCTGATTATCCTCCTCGTCATCGGATGCTGACAAAGATATATGTGCGACAGCAACTGAAATATTGGAATCTTTGTGATTTTCTCAATAACAAGATTGGATCTCGATCGCGCAGTTATCTGATCGTTTCAGGGATTCATATCTGGAAGTGAATACCTCCAGCGTGAGTTGGAAAATCCGAAATCGTACGATCAAAATCAATCTCCAGATTCTTAAAGCATCTCATTGAGGGAATGTTCGAAAGCACATGTTTAGTACTGTATGGGGTCAGGATATGGTTGCAGAGGAATGGACCCAGTTCACTTTTTGCCATACATCCAATCTGATCATTGATGCAGTTCTGGAGTTGAGCCAGACAGCTCCTCCTACAGGAGTTCCATGAAACTTCAAAATTCACGTCCTCAGATGAATTTCGCTTCTCTCAACTGAATTTCACGAAGATCCCAAGTTACTACACGGAAGACGTATTGAATGTTTCTGAATCAAGTGAGTTGGCCGGTACTGCAACTTAGTTTCATATGCAACGACAGTGCGCCACCTGCACAAGTCCGAGGAACTCGGCGTTCTCGAATCCAAACTTCAGAAAACAACTGAAGATGATCAAGTTGTAGCTGAATCGCAATTTCCAGACTGTTTCGGAACATGTACAACGTTTTGTGAACTGTCTCTGAAATAGCCAAATAATCCGCAAGACCAAGTCACCAAAACCGTGGATTTGTTCCTCGTCATTTCCCGGTGCTTTTGTCTGATTTTTCGTTTAGATTTACCCTTGCCTGAAAACGAAAGTATAAATAGACCATTTGGGGAAAGTTTGGCATCTGATCATATTTCACTCGAGCACGCCCTCCACTTTTACAATTTAGGCAATTTTTTCGAAGAAATCCGAGAGGTAGCAAACCTAAATGTTGCACATTTCTTCTCTTCTCCAATCCGCTGCCGGTGCAATTACTAGCACAAAGCTCACGACATAAGCTTCACTTTAACAATACTAACTTAAAGGATTGCAAAACGGACATGATCGTGTCGTTAGACGTGTATGTTTCCAGATAATATCTACTTTCCCAGCTCCAGGCCCTTGTCTACAAACATATCAGTGTCGATGATCTGTAGCAGTAAGTGGTGAGCCATAAG